TGTCGCTGACGTCGCCTCGGCGGGCCGCGGGGCATTGTGGGAGTTGTAGTTTCTGAGGCGAAAAAAAGAGGGGGGGCCGCCATTGAACCTTCCCCTCAAAGGAAGGCGAGTGTCGCTTTCTCACCTCAATCTCTCTTTCACTTGCAGGCTCCAGCTGAAGGCGAGGCAAAGGAGGAGGTAGGAGCTGTTTCTTCGCTGTTTTTCCCCTCAAAAAAAACTTAACTGTGGCCTCCATGCTGGGGGTTGGCGCAGGCTCAGGGCTGGGGTTGTGGGGTCTACATCCATCCCTTGGTGCTGAGGTGGGTGCTGGCTGGCCTGGCACCACTTCTGTGGGGTAAACGGGGTGTGATGTTGAGGGAGAACTCCTAAACTCTTGCCCTTCCTCTGGAAAGTCCTCACCACGCTGCCCATAATCTCATAGAATATGTCACGGAAGGGATCCATAGGGATCATCAAATCCAGCTCCCTGCTCCTCGCAGGACCATGAATCCTAGAATTTATTTGGGGCTTCACAATGTGTATGTGCTGCAGTATATTCCGGGTTGGAGTTCTGGGATGAACACAGCTTCATACACTCCCTGAGCTGTAGTGACACCTCTTTCTTTACGCAGCCAAAGAGAAGGTCGGCCAGACTATCCGCTGTAAGTATCTTTTATTTACTCTTTTCACCCTCCATCACGTACTCTGCCAAGTTCTACGGGGCAGCTAGAGAGAAACTATGCTTTTTTTTCCCACCAGTGTTGTCTGAGGCTTGGTTAGAGCACTGCAATACTTCAAATTCCTATTCTGTTTCCAGTCCTCGAGTAGCAACGCGTTACAGGCTTCACTTTTAGGCTTGTGGAGTGAGATACAACCTTTTAAACACCCAGACCCAGGAACAATCCACTTACAACCACCACCAGCATCCATTCCACAGCCACCATGACACACACGTGAGGAACAGAGGGTCTGGAGAACGAAACACACGGATCTGTCTCTGACATATGATCCCCTACACTGCAAAGTGAAGCACACAGCTCTAAGCTGGTTTTTTTATGGGAATAGTTTCCAAAATTTACTAACACTTTGCTAAAACCTTGACAGCATTGGTCTGACTCTGTTTCTTCTGTGTGTTTTGGACAGAAACCTGCTCCGCCCAAACCGGAGCCGAAGCCCAAAAAGGCAGCACCTAAGGTAAGTGTGGAGAGCTCTTGAACTGAAATGAGACTTTTCTTTCCCAGGATGAGGTTACAGGGGGGAATAAAAACCCCATCCACAACTAATTATTTTGGTTTTTTTCCTCATTTTCTTTAAAGATTTAAGATTGAATCATGTCAGTTAAAAGAACGTGAAAGAGATAAACATAATTTTATCCAGTTCCTAGGGAAGGAATGTGGTAAAATGAAGAGATCTTAAATCAGTTGTGGTGAGGCTTTGCTGCTTGTCTTGCAAGGCCATTCTGAACTTCCACATAATGCTTCGTTAGGAGAACGATGCTGTGAATAGAGATCAGAGACTCAATTAGAGGCAGCATTGAAAATCATGCTTTTAATTACAGCTCCTTACTGTGTCTTCAGTCAGAGGCACTCTTCTCAGTATCAGACAGGGTAGTTGGAAACTATTTGCAGCTTCTTTCTGCTTTGGATCAAGTTTGAAATTCAGAAGGGGATGGTGCAGCAGTCCATGAGGTATTTCTGGATCCCCCCTGCCCATCACAGGCTTCCCCAGCAGTCCCAGTTTGCAGTGGTGTTTGTAGATCTACATTGAAACCTTCAGATTGTATTGGGATTTGGCAGCTGGGGGAAAAAAAAAGGCCCAACCATGAAACTTTTAGTGTTCTTTGTAAGCTGTTCCCCTCACACATTTTCCTTCATGGTTTTGGATGGTCAGAGGGCAAAGTGCAGGAGCAGGAGGTGCTGTAGCTGCAGGAGATGACAGGCTGGGAGCCAGGAGCTCCTCTCAGCACCTTTCAAAGGCCTGGAAGGTGCCCGTGGCACAGCAGAGTTCCAGATGAGGATAACTGTTCTCTCTCCAGGTCCTGCTGTGAGGAGCAGCAGAGATGTCTGACATGAGAGGGAGACAAGAAGGAGAACCCCACTTGTGGTTCTGGGGACCCCAGGTCTCAGCTCTGGCCTGGCTGGTTTCACAGAAATAAGAATTTGGAAGTTAAGGGCTATAAGCAAGTGGCAAAACTGATTTTAGTCCCTTGCAGGCTCCCTCAGGGGTCAGTTTAATTCTCCTGTGAGCAGTGCCTTGGTCACTGCCCCCAAGCTGGACTTGGAAATTCTTGCTCCTCTTGCTTCTGAGGTGCTGGTTTGAAGCCAGGACACCTGAGCTGTATTTTTTCTCTCTAGAGCTCCTAGTACTGCACCAATACCTGTGTGAGGGTCAGTGTCATAAGAATTGTGCAGGCAACTGGAATTCTGGCTTCCCCCAAATGTTTAACTTCACAACCTTCAGGGGTTTTTTTTGTGCATCAGAATAGATTTCACCTTCTAAACTTGTGCCAGGCTGGGACCAAAGTTTTACCACTTTGTAAAACACTGAATTGAGGTTGCCAGCTGGATAGAAAAATTATTTAGGGAAATAAATACAATGGTGTTAGCTCAGGAGTAGCAGAGAGGGTGGAAAAAGCTTGGAGGCTGAAAAATAACGTGGTCTGCTTGGGTGTTTTTTTTTCCTGGACTCACTGGGGTGTGGAAGGGGTCTCAGTCCCTCACAGAACAGCCCTTGGCTTGTCCTCAGGAGCCATGGATCTGACAGGACAGAGATCCCAGGACCCTCACAGCTCTGCTGCCAGATGCTTCCTCCCCAGTCCCTCCCTCCATGGGAATCCACTTTCTGTGGGTTCTCCTCAAATACATTCTTAAGAAGGGCTCAGGCAGCAAAGAGTGAGCTGCAGAGAGCTACACTTGGAGCTCTGTGAATACTTTGTTGTCCTTTTTTTTTGAGTGTTGCAGCTTCACACCTCCCTGCCCCACAGCAGCAGGGTGCTGGGGCACTGCTCTGACTGGGATACTCATCTGTCTGCTCCCCTGGAAGCTGGGGTTGGGCTGTCCAGCCAAAGGAGGGGGGAAAGAGAGCAAGTGGAGGCATATTCTCCTCTTCCTCCCCTCCCCTGGGGGCTGAAGTCCCCCAGAGAGGTCACAGTGGCCAGTGGGGGTTTGAGAGCACAGAGATCCACTGGAATCCTGCTGACCTGCCTGAAGGTTCCTGTGTTACCACAGGAGCTGGTGTTCTTTTTGGGGAGTCTTTAGCCATCAGGATCATGGAAGAATCAGTGGCTGTGTCTGGAGTTTACCCTCAGCAAGCAGCTCAATTTTAATGGCAATTAATTCTGTGCTCTAACAGAGGTGTTGGAATAAGGACGTTCGTGTTTTGTGACTTCTCATCACCCAGACAACTCCACCTTCTGAGTGGATCCATTCAGTAATTACCTCTTTATCTTCACCTACCTGGGAGTGGTAATTCTGCAGCTCCTTGTGCTTGATGAGGTTAATGAAACGAGTTCCTCAGGGCCAAGAAGATCCTGAGAAGTGAAGCTGATGGTGGATCCTGCAGCGACGCCGGGGAGCCCCCAGCTCGTCCATCCCACGAGTGCTTTATTCTAGCCAGGGATATTTCTGCCTGGGAAGGGGGAAGTTCCTTTGCCTGCAGCTTTGTTAAGAGTTTTCTGAACAGGCACGAGGAGCCCATCTGAAGTATTCTGGTCTTTCCACTCCTTTTTGTTCTGTGGCATGCCTTTCAGCAGCGCAGCAGCTCTACAGGCCAGTTTGACATTTTTTTAGCTAATTTAATGGAATGCCTATTTAAAATAGGAATTCTTTTTAACCCCAGGCACGGCTGCTTTTAGATGACTTGCTTCCCAGTAGCACAGAATAGAAGGAAAGCACTTCTCCTTGGAAACTTTCATCTTGGTTCAAGAGGGAGTTCAGCGTGTGGAGAAGGTTTGAGGGTTGGGGATGTGTGCGTGGAGGTGGCCAGGGTGGAAATCTGCCCTCACCCTCTCTTGCTCTGCTCTCTTCACAGAAAGAAAAGGCAGCAAATGATAAAAAGGAGGACAAAAAGGCAGCGACAAAAGGGAAGAAAGGAGCCAAAGGCAAAGATGAAACTAAACAAGAGGATGCTAAAGAAGAAAACCACTCTGAAAATGGAGATACCAAAACTAACGAGGTACCTGGGCTGGGATAAACATGGGGGGGTTGGGCAGAGAGCTGCAGGAGCCCAGGGCTGGGCCCCCTTCTTGGGAGGTGGTGTGTCCTCCACAGCACCTGGAGCAGGGCAGAGTTTGGGGAGCAGCAGAGCTCAGTGAGATGACTCTCCAGCACTCTCAGCCCCGTGCTGGCTCTGCACATCCTCCCAGGACTGCTGGATTGCCTCTTCTGCTCACCACGGGTTGGGTCGGGGCCAGAAATCTGGTTTTAAGTTTCACTCAGTTCTGTAAAACTATTCTTTGCCTCAGAAACAATTCACCAAGAGATGTGGAGTATAAACTGGGGTCTCTCCTCTTCATCTGCAAGCTGCTTTCTCCCAGGTTCTTTCTCTACCAGCTCCTTAGCTGAGAGCTGCTGTTGGCCAGGACTGGCTGCAGACTTTGGCCAGCTCCTGGTGGCCTCCTCCTAGTAGAAGGTGGTCTTCTGGTAGTAGAAGCTCAGCATTTACTCCTGGCTCCCACACAACCAGCCCACTGAGTTCTCTGTTACTTCTGATTTACAGTCCTCTCTCCTCCTGCTTTGAGCTTCATTATCCACTTAATGAGTCGTTTATTCATTTTTAAAACTTAACCCTGGAGCTTCTTGGCTAGAAAGGAACGTGGGGGTGATGTCCTTGGAAGGCTCTTTGGTAGGAGCTTTGCAATTTTGATGCCTTGACTTAAAAAAGGGGTAGAAAATGGGGAAGAACCAACTGCCCCCAGCATTGTCCATGGCTGTGCTAACAAACTAGCCTCTCTTTGCTGCTTGTTAGATCCCATCAGCATTGCCAATAATATTTCTGTTCTTCCCAAACCCTTTTGTAGGCACCAGCTGCTGAAGCATCTGATGATAAGGAAGCCAAGTCCGAGTGATGTCAACCCTGCCCTCTATCTCCATCATTTGGTATCCGTACCTCCATGCTGTATTGTTAACAGAGAGGAATATTTTTATCAACTATTTTATAAATGCAGGTTTTTTTAGCATGAATTTAATTATGGAACATCTTCATCTCGGTTACTTGGGAATGAAATCCCTAACAAAACAAAAACAAAACAACAAACAACAAAACAAAACAAAAAATCATCGTTTTTAAATTTTTGTGATTGTAATAGTTTGTATGGTACATGGAAAGAATAAGTGGTGGTAGCTTTTGACTTCTGTCAGTGTGTCCCTTTTTGTGTAAGTCATGCTTACAGACTTCAGATTTTCATTTGTTTTTTTGGTTTTGG